TGTGTGTGAGAGGGAGAAAGAGAGACAAAAACATTTTGCTGTCAATTGAATGTGAAGTGTGTTTCACAGATCGCAAACAGTTGAAGGCAAAATGCGAGAGCCTCTGGACACACAGCGCGGGGGGATGAGTCTACATATATGTATATATATATATATGTGGGACATTATCAGCGTGTTTATATTAAGTGTGACACTCGTTTATGGGTGTTTTCGAGTGCAATGCATTAAATGCAAGCGATTATCTTTTAACACCCAAAGCTAATCTCAGCTGCAGGGGGGAGCAAACCAACTGAGCGAGAGAGAGTGACCGAGAGGCGGGGAGAGGAGGCAGGTAACGGCTGGCAGCCATACATGTTTGCTTGATAGTTCATTGGTTTTTGGCTCACTCGAATAGCACTCAAGTGAAACAGCAAAACACCAACAAATTTTCTACTTTCGAAAAACTTTAACCAAGTTTTCAAAATATTTTCAAACTTTTAGAGCTTTGCAAGGATTATAAAGCTTTCGATTTACTGTAGCACTAAAGCACTTTTCTTCAATCACACTTGGGAATATTTATTTTGATATTTTCTCCTCTAAGAAGCTATCTAAGTGGCATTCTTCAGTTAAGGGCAAACAACTTGAGCTTAAGGTTTTAGCCTTAATTGAATTGCATTTATATATATATATATATATATATATATATATATATATATATATATATATATATATATATATATATATATATATATATATATCTATATATATAATATTGGTATGATAATTTTATCTTTAACATAAATCACTAATAAATCAAAGCCCTTCTCACTTTTAGCTTTAAGCTTTAAAGCTCACACAATATATATATTTAGGATATTAGAAGAAAACTTCAGTTAAAACTGAAATCTTTCGCTCAGTCGATCTTAAGAAATTTACCTTAAGAGGAAATGTTTAAGAACGCTTAAAGCTCGCTTTAAGCTTTTCGTACACTTAAATCCATTTGAGACACTCATTAAGCTTTAGAGCTCACATAACGGAAGTATACATTTATACACTCAAAATTCAATTCGATTACTTTGAAAATTTCAGTTTTAAGAACACTTAAAGCTCTATTCAAGATTTAGGCACACACTTCCAGCAGCTACGCGTTTCTCTTCAAGTCTGAGTCTTGTGCAAAAAGAATGCTTCTCCAAAGTCCCCGACAAAAACTTATGTAATAAACCTAAAATTTTTAAAGCTTAACAAAGTCAAAGCTCAAAGTTCAAAGCCTACAACTCACATTAAAAACTCATTTGCTAAAGCGATTCTGCTGTAGATCGTAACTAATGAGTTGATCTATGCATATAAAAACATATATATATAAATTTATATATATACATATTTATATAAATAGATATGCATATCTATATACATATGTGACATAACTTATATATAGGTTTAGAAAGCTTATTGCTTCAAAACTATTTGTCGTTTCTGTTGTGCATTTGGAATTTTAGTTTAGACATCGTTGTAAACGCTCTATATCATATATACGAAGTATGATCCCAATCAAAACAACACATATTAGTTCCAGATTGATATGGAAAGCTTCAGAGATGTTCTGTTTTCTCTTATCGCGCACTGTTAGCTGCAGGGCAAGCCAAACGATCTATGAAAAGTAGATCATTATAATACAAATATATATATGTTATATATATGTATATATTATATATATGTATATATATATTAAGGCATTTAATTGAAAACTCGCATTCAAATTCGAATTGCCTTTCATCAGACCTGAATCAAACTGAGAATAGCGTAAATTATGTCGTGTAGTAATAATATTATAATAAGTTCCTGAGTGGAATTCCAACAGCAACTTCATGGATCTTCAAAGATATATCAGCATTCGTTCCATCTTATATTTGCTTTATCATTGAAAACTCAATCAAAAGATAGACGAAATTTAATTTAATTTCAATTGAAGTTTGGATTAAAGACTACAAAAGCTCATCAATGCCAAGAGTACATCGTTAAGACTCACATAAGAAACACTATGAAGCATGGCATTACGTGTAAGAATCGAAGCCAATATAATACTTGGTTGGTATAGGATAGCAGTTCAGTTGCCCAACCATTTGCTTCACTTGCAAAGGCTTTTCAACTTAGCATAGCTTAGTATATACTTAATGAAGTCTATATGAAGCTGAAAGAAACTGATTCGAGTTCCAAGCTAAATTTTGGCTGATCTGATCAGTTCATATATGTTATTAAAAAGTATTCTTTTTTTTTTCATATTCACTAAGTTTTTTCCAGATTTTATTGTATAACATTTATTTAATTCATTTACAACGTAAAAATTCTTGAAATTTGCAAATGATATTCGAACCTATAACGAACAATTGACCCATTTGAGTTAATGTTCCCAGCGGAGACAGAGAAACAATAACAGGGTGGGAGACAGAGACAGAAAGAGGCAGAAAGAGAAAGAGATAGAGGTGCTACCCCTTAAACGGGCATTGCATGTTGCCTTTGATAAAAATATAACAACGAAAAATAAGTAAAAGTGCTCACATTGAGACTGCACGACTGAAAAATACCCTGAAGACAAAGCCAAACAAATATTGTGAATAGCTTTGGTGTTTATTGTGCGATTGCAATGAAAACTACTTCAAAAAAAAACTAAGATGACAAATGTATATCCTTAAGATTAGATGGGAGTAAGTGAAAGTATACAAAAAGTTCTAATAACCAGATTGATCGGTTCAGTATACCTAGCTTACACACTTTCTTAGGGTCCAGGGTATGAAAAAAAAAATTGCTGGAAATTCAATCAACGCGAATGCACTCGAAAAATGTATTCACAAAAACGTATCGCCCACATGGAAATGACACTCAACATATATGAATATATATATATATATATATATATATATATATATATATATATATATATATATATGTATATATATATATAGTTGTACACTCAGAATGCAATGGACAATAAGTGGAACTGGAAGAGCAACAACAACAAAGGCAACAAATTGCACGCATCTTTCAATTGAGGAGGTTAGTTTTGTCCCCCTCAGGCGTAACATCTATAGTTATATTATATATTTAGTCATCGTGCACTTTCGAACAATTGAACAATATGTTTACTGAAATCAAATTGCACGCACTTAATGAACTGGATAGCTGAATTTATTTCCGGTTTTAGTTCGAGAACGTCAAGAGCTACTTACAGGAAGCGTGAGTAGACACGTTCCCGTTAAGTATACCCATCATTGTGGTAGCCAAATCGCATTGAAATTGTTGCTGAGCATTTGTTTAGAGTGAGCTGTGGAAGCTGTGAAGTTAGAAACTTTAGATCCCGAAAGTATCATTGAAGCTAAGATCTGTAGAAGTGGAAGTGTATTAGAAATATAAATAATCAACCTCTGCTCATAGCAGTTCTAGATAGTTCATCAAATTTAATAAAGAATAATTTCTGACTATCTGGAATTCTTTCTTCGTTCGTCATCTAAATTTGCTTTATATAAATCTATAAACTAGGAAAGGTTTGTTCAATTTCTATATTCAAATATTATTTCCATGTTTTGCCAACTGTATAACTTGTGCAAATATTTTAGCCAAATGTTTCTTTAATTGCTTATATATTATATATCCATATATATATCTATATAAACTTTGGCATACATTGCTAATGGGAAATTATTTATAAAGTGTTGCGCTCTTGTGACGTCACGAAATATAATAAAGAAATTCCATTGCTTTTCGACGGGCCTCAACTTTGGCAACGGCAATTGCAGTACAACTGCCAAAAACGCCTCGAAGAGCCAAATATGTCTGGGGCATTATGTCGTTGGCGTTTGCACAATTATACAAAAATATATATGCAGATGTGCGTACATATCTATCCATTCGTCTAGCAATCAGTTGGTTTGGCCAATTGTCAATCGCTCAAGCGCTCAATGCGGACATTCGTCGCATGCAAATCGGAACTTGAGGAACTCTCGATTGAAATCGATCCGATCTGACAAAGAAAAAGTACGCGATAAACACAAGTGAAAGTGCCTGAGTGGAATGTGCTCAGCTGGCAAATACCCTGTACGAATTACAGCTCTGTTTGTGTCAGACATGAGTGCCTATAATTCAATAGATCGATATTTATCGATATTATGGGGCACGCGAAAAATATCTGTACGAAAATTTGCTAATTGCTCTCTAAGTCTTCAAGATATAGCTGATATTTATCGATAACGAACAGTATGTCTTAGAGATAATATACATTTAAGAAATATTTGTGAAATATATGTACATTTTTCTGAAATCGATATTTATCGATACATGGATGTATGCACATAATGTCATACCCCTCTTCCTTCGCATTCATTAACTACAGGGTATATCCCATACAAATCGATGCTTGACATTGGCTATCTGTATTCTCAAAGAGAGCTCAGCTCAGGGTCGTATTTCACTTTAACTATTTTATTGGCTCATGTGGCTTGGATTGGGGGCGAGGGCGTTGGCGTAGGGGCTTAGCATCCGGTCTGAATTGCTGTTGCAGGTAATTGAAAAGCTTGGCCTTGACTTCTCTGCATATGTGCAAAAATCAATGCAAACTACGATGGGAAAGGCTACAATGAAAATAGACAGGATGGAGGAGGCGTCACGAGCTATGTAATCGAGGTTGCAGCAGTAAAAAAGGAAACGGGAATTGCTTCAATGTTAATGGGAACTAAAATCACATTCAGGCTTAAAGTTTACTGCGGAAGGGTTTCAGTGAGTGACAGAAAACTTCATAAAAAACTTATAAAGTTCATTGAAGTTGTAATGTATGTGCATATGAAAGCGGCTAATCTACTTAGAAAGAGCAGTATCACTTGGTCTTGAGCTTTCAAAGCACTTGAAAGTTATGAAAGCACTTTAAAGCATTAAAATCGCATTAAGTGAAGCTTTTGAAAGCTTTTATTTACAAATCCTTGCAGTCTACATAACCTCAGATCTTTCTGGAAAGTTCAAGTGAAGTTGCTTACCTGCTCACAGTCTGGCTGAGATATTGTATCTGTGCATCATTATTGAGCAGCAGGACAACGGGCGTGGGCAGGAACTCATCTAGGATGTGATTGTGCGCCTGCGCCTTGCTCAGCATGCTGATGGCTGTTGCCGAGGAGCACGACGACGTGGACGAGGCATTCGACGACACTGGCGAGGGCAATGGTGTGCTCGTGGGCGTGGCTATCGAAAGCTTTGACGCATGTTTGTTCGACCCAAAGCTGCGGCGTATGGATTGTAGGCTTTGGCGCAAAAATGATTCGCGCTTGATGTTGCCACTGCGATGCTTCGATGACTGCGACTCGATAATGCACAACGCCGACGCCTCAAAGTGCACCTTGCCGGGTAGCGACTGTGGGCGTGGCAGGTGGCAACCATGCGTCGCCGGTGAATGCTTGAACAATTCCTCATACTCGTGCGGATTGCGCCGCAGCAGCTGAGCCTCCTGTTCGCTAATGAACTGCTGATCCTGTTGATCCACTTCCAGCTTCTTCTCAGTATTCTTTAATGCCTTCGATTTCTGTTTCTTCTGCGACTTCTTCTGGCGCGTCTTCTTGGCGGGCTGATCGTCGGCAACCAGCATCAAGGAGGCGATATCCGGAAAGGGTTCCATATCGGGCGATTGCAAACGTTTATATTGCGCATGATTATTATTAATCTTGTGATTATTGTTATTGTTGATGTTTCTATTGCTATTGTTATTATTCTTCTCAATGAAGCTGTAGGATTTGATGAGAAACAGATTCGACTTGTTCTTCTTGGCCTTTAGCTGCTGCAGCGTACTGTCCGGCTCCATCGATGAATCGACTTTCCCATTGCCGTTGACCTCCTCCTCGGTGATTGTGGCCATTGTCTGATTTACTTTGCTTTTATTATTTTGTTTGCTCTTCTTCTTGTTGCAATATTCTTTTTCGCTTGGTTTTTATGTTATTTTTTGCTCGGTTTATTGTTCTAGTTGGTGCGTGTTTTCACTATTTACAACAACATCTTTTCGATCAGATCTCACTGCCTTTCTCTCTTTCTCTCTCTTCGACTGTGGATAGAAGGGCAGAGCTAAAGTTATTTTTATGCCACTGCGTTGACATTGGCTGAGCGGAGCGAAGTGAGAGCGCTTCAGGCGCTGGGAGGTCGATCAACTATCAAACACACACGCACACACACATTGCTGAACACCTGTCGGTGTATTGGTGAGCTTTTGAAAGCTCCCCTAAGGCAAGAGGCATCAGCTGAGGCTTCTGCTTTGTATTGAAGTTGCTTTTATAGTTCATTAAAGTGAGCGAATCATTCAAATAATCTCGATAGAACTAGTTCAGTTTGTACATGTTATTTCGTGCACAGGTATTCAATAGTTCATGAACGATCATGAACAATCGTCTGCTCTGATCAGTAGCTACATAGATTTCTAGCCTATTGCTCATAAATCGCTGAACTAACTGAACTGGTTCTTGAACTCATTCCACATATGGAACTAGTTTTGCTAAATCTATTGAAGATAACTTTTATAAAAAAGTGTTAAAATGCTATGTTGTAAGAACAATAAGTTATCTATAAACGATATAATTTGATTTCTTAGCAAACGGATATAAGAAACTAAGAACAATCCAGAAACAGGGCTTTTGGGCTTTCGTGTTCTCTGCATTTAAACATAGCTTCTTTTAGAGAAACTAATTCCTATTTCATACGAAATACTTTTCCGATATTTGGCCGGAAATTAAATTAAATAAACATTTTACGCTCTGCTGGAGTATAGCGAATTAGATCTATTTAATTCACATATTTGACATGGGAAAATGTTAGTTAAAATAACTAATTACATAACATTATAATATTGGCAATTTTTACAGACCTTGCTCACTTAGATCTCTCTCTCTTCAAAAGCTAATTTGGTTAAAAAGTTACATAACTGTAAATGAGGTTTTTATATCTGCAATATTTCCATCTCATTACAAATTGGCGGCTTTTAACCAATTGAGTGCTAATCTGTATTTGTTTACAGTTAACATCTATAAAGCTCAAAATATGTAATGTGCGATTCGACATTATCGTAGATCTCTTAATTAAACGAACGAAATTAATTAAACTGTAGCTGCTAATTTTTCATATAGTTAACAGCTCGCTTCAAATGTTAAAAATATACTTTCGTATTTATTGTTGACAAAGAAATCGCACGAGTGCCAACTGATAATTATTCGAAATTTCAATCATGATTATTATAGATTTAGATAATAAATAAATATAAATATATATATGTATACTAATCAACAGGGCTTCTTTTTGCGTAATGCTCGCTCTCTTTCTGACATCAGCTGTTGCCGCATGTCCATGTCCTAGCATGTGTGTGTTAGTGTTCTGTTTGCTGCTAAAGTTCTTTTTGTCATGACAACAATAGATGGCGCCACACAGCAGCCGCCCGGCATACGACAATGCTCTCCCTGCCTCACTGGCACACACACTTCCATTCTTACATTATTACGCTCTCTACCATACACAAACACGCTCTCACTTCGACTCGTTCACATTGTTGTTTTGGTCTGCCCAGCAGGTCTCTCTCTCTCTCTATTCGTCTCTCTCAGCTGTGCGCGTGTATTTGCTTTACCGCTTCTTCGCCTTGCTGCTGCCGTTGCTGTTGTTATTCTTCTTGTTGTGGAGTACAATTCTTTTTCTTATTTTTTTGAATTGGTTTTTTTTTGTTTTGCTTTTCTCGTCTTTTTTGCATTTATTTTTGGCCACGACACACGGCCAACAATTTCCGTCACTTTTTTCTTTTAATGATGTCACTTGGCCGTACTCCCTGTTGATGTCTACGACTGCGTTTGCCGCTAACCGCTTAACCCGTCGCTTTGCGAAATATGTTTGATCGGCGTTCTTATTGTTGTTCTGAGTCTTTCGCTTTGTTGTTAACAGCAAACTAATTCGCCGCTATTCAATAAACATTTACACTAGAATGAACTTTTTTTATTTGTTGATAAACTTTATTGTTGTGCACGCGATAGTAAACAAAAACAAACCAAAGACACTTAAAAAAAAACTAACAAAATTTTTTTTTCGAAAGAATAAAAATAAAATGTGGAAAAGCGGCCACCGCTCGCTGTTGCTGCTTAAAAAAGCGCTCTCTCGCTCGCTCTCCCGCTCACTGACTACCCGTCTGCGTTGTCGTTCGCTTTCGCACTGAATTTCAAATTGAAGCGCCGTTGCGGCCAGACCCAACTAACGTCCAGCCAGGCAGACAGCAGCAGCAGCAGAAGCAGCAAAAGCAGCAGCGACGGCGGCCCTACATCAACAATATCTGAGACGAACAAAGCGACGCGGCGAACAGTCAAACGACGTCGGCGAATGTGGCCACATGCATGCATACGCTTATGTGAACGTGTATGTGTGTGTGTGTGTAATAAACTTCTTCCCTGCTTATCATGCTGTGTTGCGTTGGCGTCAGCGCCGCCGTAGCCGCTGGCTTTGCTTATTATGTTATTGTTGTAAAGAAATTTAACAATGAACTTAGAGAAGCAGTTGAAGCAGCAACGGAATACAAAGTGCTATGCTCTTCTTGAAGCTCTCATTCTCTTTCTGTTTCTCTGGTTCTTTTGACGTATGCTTTATCTAAGGAGCTAGAAGCAGCTGATGCTTACAGATCCGCAGCTGAGATTTAACTATTAACCGTTAAGCGTTCATTGCTTTGATTCGCCTTTCGCTTGCCAAGTGATTTTTGCTGTTGTTTTTTTTTCTTCACTGCTGACCCTAAAACTGTTGGCCAATACACACACACATGCACATAGACGTGTGCTTTTTTCTTTCCCTTTGACTGGATGATTTGTAATTTTTCGCTTGCGTTACGCAAATATAATGAACGTCGAACAAAAAATAGCTAAACAACATTAAAAAAATATATGAAATGGCAAAAGAGAAATATATTAAAAACAAACAGAAAATAATGGGCAACACCTGCCTCCTCACCTAATCAACTCCATAGCTGCTATCGTACATTTAGCAAATGGCGGGACGTCCATGGGGGGAGTGAAGCCCCTTAAATGTTCTCTAGTCTTAATTGAACTCTAACCGTATTACTTTTCGATAAAATTTTAGAGATAAGTGGCCAAGTGTTTATCGATATGGCAACACTATTGTTAACTGAAATACTAAGCTGAATTCGCCTCACACTCCCACACACAGTTCAGGCGCTAGTCATGGTCACCCTACAGATGAGCTATGCGAAAACCGCAACCGACTAAAAGCAAAAAAAAAAAAACAAGGGCAACCTTCCACTCTATCTAACACTCGATCTGTTGTGGCCCATTATATATATACCCCGTATTTGCAAGAGTTAGCACAAGGTATTAGCAATTGATGTTGCTACCAGGCATCCGCTTAGTCAGTGTGGACCTCATTCTTCGTTTGATCTTCAGTCTTGGAAACTTAAAAGATTATGTGAACAAACTTTTAATTATGCTTTTCAATTTCAATTATTATTATATTTCGCATAGCTCTTCTAAAAAAGCTGAGATCGATCAAAACCTATAGGCATTCATTAAAGTTACTTTTGAAGAATCTTAAGCTTTAGGATCTCTTTAACTCGCTCTTCTCTCTCATTCTTTCTTATCATAATATCTTTATTTTTGCGCTTTTCTTCTCTCTCCTCTTTGGCGCTTCTCTGTTCTCATCATTTCTTCTTCCACTTATTGCCTTCTTCTTCTTCTTTTGTCATTATTTATTTTCTGCCATCTCCTCTGAACTTCATTTTATTACTCTTTCTTCTCTTTCGCTCTCAACTCTTGCATTTCTTTCTATTATATTTTAATCTTTGTTCAATTTTTCATTACTATTGCCTTTCCTTCCTTTTCTCATCATCACTGTTATCTTCCCTCTTTTTATAGTCTTTTCCCTTGTTCTCCCTTCTTATCTAGCTTATCCTCTCCTGTTAGCTCCTCTCGTTTTACTGCCATATTCCTTTCTTCCGCTTTGAAAGCAATACATTTCCATTTAAAGGGTATCTTTTAGTGCAGCATTCCGCACTAAAGCAGCCTTGACGCTTTTATTTTAATGTGGGGCGTCACTTTCATGGGGCGTTTTGTTTGCTTAATAGCCTCATTAACAGATATGATATCGTATCTGCACGTGGGTCCATGGGTCCATTTGCTGGGAAATAGCTGCGAAGATGGCGAAAACCCAAGCGCAAAGAGAAATCGTTCAGAGTTGAGGAAAACTGTCTTGACTCATTGCCTTCGCCACTGTTTCTGGGGCTAACACAAATCCATTAAAAAAAAAAAAACAATAAAACGTCACAGTTGATAGCGAAATTGCGTAAGATTCGAGTGAAACATAATCAATTTATATATATAGATATATATAGGTATATATACGTGTGCTTATAAAAACAATTATAGCGCAGAATTGAAAATTAATCTTTGCACCTTCCCGAAATGCCATATGACTAATGATTTCCAGGTGTTCGCCGTTTAGGCAGATATGACAGCCAAATATGCTGTACACCTGGTCTAATGAACTAAGTAAATTATGATATGAACATGTATATATATATAGTATATGCACTATCTAACTATCTATTCAGCCATCGATATGAATACGGTGAGAGCTATGCACAGGTGGCCTGATATACAACGACCTACCAAACATCAGTTATATTATTCGTAATACTAATTGGAGAACCCGGAAAAGCACCTCACATGGCCTTTCCATGACTAATGATCGGTCTCTATCGTGTCTCGGTCTATGGCTTATTCCTAGAAACATTTTGTTGCACATGGTGAAGTAATTCCAAGGGGTTTACCTAGCATATCTCTATTGACTTTCTTCTTTAAGGCAAGGGAATAGTAAGTCAGATCTATAAATATATATATATATATATATATATATGTATCCCTATTTAAATATTCTGATTTAAGCTATGCTCATAATTTCTACTTACCAATTTCTAATTGGCATACTTTTAAGCTCATTAAAGTCTCACTAGATTCTAGATTTCCTGAGTCTGAGTAAACACTCTTCTAATATATTATATTATCTCAGTGGACCGAAATTAGGTTTGCCTTGAAGATGACCACCCCAAAAATTCGAACGAAAACGATTCACTTTAATGCGCAACTAAATATTTTGACACAATTATGACCAAAACATACTCAGAACATATTAAAAGACATATATATATATATATATATATATATATATATATATATATATATATATATATATACATAGTGTATATAAAAAACTGAGATCGTGCTATCAGTCACGACTATAAACGGATGAGCGGCGCGAGATGACAAAAGAGTTTTAATCAAATGATCTCGCTCTCTGGCTCTAGAATTGACGCAGGCAGATCGGGGCAATATATAAACAAACATATATATATATATATATATGTGTGTGTATACGTGTATTATCTCGATACGGTGGGTCTAATAAATCACAGCACGACGTTTATTTAAACAATATGCCCGATAATGTGCCACACTGTACACACACGCCTTCCCTTGCCTTGCCTTGAAAATCAAGAACTAGTTCACACCGATCCTCAGTTTTATATATATATAAATTATGTATGTATAATAATCTATGGTCAGCTTGTTGCTCTGCCATATCTGATCATACAGCTGATCCGCTTTCGACACAGGGAAATCACTTCAGTCGGTATCGGAGCAAAGGTGGAGATCACGCTTAATGGATTCCAGAAATAAATATTTAAAAATTCCATTCATATTACTAATCTTTGCACATTTTATAAACATTGCTGAATGCTGCTTAAAAATAGAACTGGAATAAGCTTTGCCTCGGGAGATTTTACATGGAGGGAATTATTATCGAAATATCATCAAAAAACAGATGTAAGGTTAAGCTATTGCTATAATCTTAAGTCAGCTGGCTTAAACAATCATTTTAGTAAATAACTCACCTGGAGTGTTTCCGTTTCGCATTGTCGCCTAGCGAACCAGTTGTGGCAAGTTGTGTTAATCTACAAGAAATAAGAGAAAAATATTAGTGGATGACATTTGAGAGAAGGAACAGTTGGGATCCTTAAAAACCACCTACTAAAATGGTTAGCATACATTTTTCCAGTGCATTTTTAGCATATTCAAAAATCTGATTAAGATCCTAGCTATATACACATGATTAATTTTATATCAACAGACTATATGCCAAATTTCAACTCAAAGACTCAAGTAATATCCGAGTTACGATAGTTTGGAATGAAGAGAAGTTTGTTGCCGCATTTCAAAGTCTGAATAAATAACAGTATTTGCTTTAAACTCTTGCCCACCACGCTTACGTGCTGGTATATTTGCAAACCTTGACATGGACTCAGGCATAAGCCAAAGGTTATGCTTTCCACTTTCATAACTCAAAATTACACAATCAAAAGGAAGCCCCAAAATGCACGTGTGCTGTATGTATGGCTGTGTGTGTACCCTCTCTCTTTGTCTTGCATACCCGCAGCAGCATTAAGAAGTGAACAAAAACAAACACAGCGAAAAGTGAGAGCAAACAATGTTGTTTGAGCGAATTCAGCGGGCGACCCGCCCTCTTTACGCATAGGCTTGCCGCAAAAGCCGACACTCACACACCCATAAGCACAAACATACACACACACACAAACAAGCAGTCATTGCCGCCAGGGGGCGCGCGCGCTCACCTTGATTTTGCGTTTGCACACAGATTTTTGCCAAATTTTCGCAAGAGTTTTACATGCTGTTGCGTATGGTAAAAGTTTTCCCAACACTTTTTGCACTTTTTGTGAATTGTTGTTGCTGATTATTGTGCGTGTGCTTTAACTTTTGTTTTCGCTGCTTGCGGCGAATTTGCGTATTGCGGATTTCTCAATTGCGTGTTCTGCCAAAAATAATTTGCCTTTGTAGTTTATTGTTGTTATTGTTGAATATTGCTTCTTTATTATTTAATAATGCGTTTATTTTGGCAAAGACCAGAGAAGTACCGTTAACGACCCGACGCGCTCTGCACTCACTTAATATATCAACTGAAGCCGTCTCTGCCGCTGTTTCTGCTCTTCTGTG